TCCACATCTGTCTTGTGGAACTGATTCAGAGAGTAATTACAGTTGAGATAAGTCTTTTGCAGAATACATGCAATTAATTCTCCTGTAAAAAGGGGGAAAGAAGCCTGACATTTTAATAATGTTTAAGTACACCTAATCTATTTCTTCTCTGCTCTTAAGGTTTCCTAAATACGAGCAAGAAAGAGGATTTGAAAGTACTTACAACTGTCTGTTCTTATGCAAATCATCCATGGGTATGTAATATTCCATCATAAAATAACCAGCATGAAATAGTATCACAAAACACTAGAATGTATAATAAGTGGGGAATTAGTGTAAAGATGAATCTAGAATACACTTTTTCTGCTTAAGGACTATTATTCTCTTCAAATAGAAGAGACCAAAAAAAAAAAAGTATCAGGCACATGCCTTTTTAAATTTTGAAAATAGAGTGGACTAATCAACATTCCTCTTTTTTCCTATCAATTCCAAAAATGGTCATTAATTCATTTTTCCAAATCTCACTCCTGGCCTGTCATAACAACAATTAAAAAAACCCACACACACCACACAAAACACACTATGATTCTAGGACCATACATTTCAATGAATCTATATTGGCATAACTACATTTCGAGGCAATTTTTACACTTAACCCAAATGTCCTTCATAAACAGTTCATCAGCAGGATTCAAGTGCATCTCAGGCAGTTACACTTCAAAGCTGGATAGCAAGTACTTGTCTTCGCCATACTTAAAAACAGCAGCAATTGGCTAATTGCACATTAGTCTAATCAACCTACAGAAGAGTTAAGCTTGCCATCGTTCTGCCCTCCAGAGATTCCCAAATTGTATTTTTTTAAAAATGATTTAACATAGGCTTTGGACAAGGAGGTAGAAATTGTGTGTGATTCACAAAGATAAAACAGATTTAAAAAAATCTTGGTTATTTTTTGATGAGCCAATTCCAGAACATCTGGTTCTGAAGCATTAACTTCTACAGCTTGAGGTAAAGGTCTCCTGGCTAGCGTGCTGTA